CTCTTCTCCACTTTTTTTTTTAACAGTAAGTGTGAATACCATTGCCTTCTGGGAATATAAATTCAGCCCGCCCTCCTGCGTGCTTATGCTGTGGGGTTAAGAGGGGAGGAACTTCTGCTGATCTGCAAAGTGGCTGCAGAGTGTTTAGCAGGCTTTTGGCACCAGGATTTATTAACCTCAACTAGAACTGAGGAAGTGGAGGGGAAATGAACTGCTGTCCCCATGAGACCCAGGAGGCTTAATCATGAGTCTGCCTCACTTCCTTATAATGTTAAAATACTGATTGTGGTATTTTTAGGGTGGCTGATAGGAAAGTCATGGCAGCAGCACGGTGATACGTAAGGATTCTAGTAGCCCTGTTAAGATGAAATTATTTTCCTTCTCAGGAAAACTATCAAGGGCAGCCCAGAGAGGTTTGCTATCCCCAAAGTAAGATGGGACTTTAACTTGAGGAACACAGCTTCGCATCTAGCTCTCAAAAGCTTGCACACTGAGCAAGAATTAGCCCACGCTAAATCAGAGGAAGCCTCTAGACTACAAATTTAACTGTCTAAAATACCTGAGACATAGCCTGCTAGAAGACTTTGTTGGTAGAACAGACTGACTTGAACTTAAAGCTAAACCTCTCTCTGCCTCAGTTGCTCTCTACTTTCAGTAGCAGTCTTCCTCAGATTTTCAAAATTCCTCATGCTTTGCTTCTGTGTGTACTTGGGTCTGAGCTGATAAGTTGTTTTTGTTGTGGGTTGTGAGTGTGTGGAGGGTTTTTGTTGTTTTTTTGTCACTGTTGTTTTGTTGCTTTTGTTTTCTTGGGAGACAAGGTGCATCTTTTGCCTTTATCTTTTCTGGTTGCCCAGGTGAGATTTATTTCTGGCTTCCTCAGCAGGAGCTCTCAAGGTGGGTAATGAGTGAAGGATGTGGGTTTAAACACTTTAAGTCTCTAATCTATCTATCTCATGCAAAGTCAGTGTTCTCCTGCTTTCGAGGTGTTTCTGAACAGCTACAGTGAGTGGAGGGGAGTTCTGTGAAATTTCAGTGGGACAGAACAGTGCTTAGCTTTGAAACAAAGCAGCTCAATACATACAATCAAGCTCCAATTATTAGGATAATCATATTTTTACCTTTTCTCTCTGAGTTGAGGTCTTCCTCTGCCCCCTGGTGAAGCTCAAGGCAGAAGTTCCTATTATCTGTATGGCCATTGCAAGATATTAATTGTTTAAATGGGAGGCATTTGAACTCTTATGCTATAAATTAGTCAGCTTCAAGTTCTCTTTAAAAATATATGAAATTAGAAAATGGACACTTTTTGATGCAGCAGCACAATCTTTCCCTTTTATATTTCTTCAAAGTTAAATGCAAGCTCTGAAAGCAATTCATCCTCCTTAGCATGTTTTCCAACTGGTACCCTGGGGATTATGTGAATGAGTCATACTATCATTAATTGGGCTTCTCAGTGCTTTTTCTCACACTGAAGGTTTCTACTCCAAACATATAAGAAACTGAGAAATGATTATCTGCAGCAAAAAGTTTAGAAAGGCATACGGCTTACTTTGGTAAATCTTTTTAAATGAAACTGCTCTTGTTATAATAGTCATAATGACATGTTGTTACTTATAGCCTTGACTCCTGGGTGACTGCTGCAAATGCCCAACTTTTTTTGTGTAAAGTTTTATTAAATTTGTGTTATGATTGGAATGCTTCTGTGGATCAGATTTAGCAATGGATGTTGGGCATTGGTTATCAGTAAGCTCTTGATTATCAGCAAGTCCAGAAATTTATTTACCTTACATGAGGGCAAAATAATTCTAAGTTTCCTCTGAAGCTTTTGTCTCTAAGATCAAAGCGAAGAGCTCACTTACCTGCTTTGCAGCTGTACTGGATATTGTGCTGTGCTGCTCTGATTCTTTCCCCCACCCCAGTGGTGGAAGAATGAGTAATGCTGCCAAAAATTACATCTGCTTCAGTGTGCTTGGTTTAATGGGGACTTCATCTTTTGAATATTTTTACAAAGGCTTGTGTGGGCTTGAAAGCCATTTAACACTAAAAATTGGCAAGAGCTATGAAAAGAACTGAGGCAGCCGCCTCTTGGCTGTCTGACTTTTGTGCTTGGAGTGTATGCAGAGCTTTGCTGTGAAGTGCACAGGCTCCTTCCGTGGAGGCTTCGGGTACCTTGGCTGGCAGTTAGCTGCGGTTCAGTGTGCAGAGCTGTGACCTGGGCAGAGCTTGTGAATACAAAGTCAGGAGTCATCCTAGGCACTTTGGTGAACTGCACCTATTCAGATTTGTATCTCTTGGGCAGTACAGGAACTCTCCTTAGACTTGGTTGCTTGGGCCAGAAGGCAACGGGCAGAGCAGGGAACGGAGGACAAACAATCTGAAGTGTATTGTATGCCAAAATACAGCCTGAGAGGCCAAAACTTGATGCACTCTGACTGTGTTCCTTCTTGTAAGTGTATAGAATTGTAGAATTGTTTTGGTTGGAAAAGACCTTTAAGATCATCAAGTCCAACTGTTAAATGTATACCTCTATCCAGGAGTTCTCAGACTAGGTGTGTGTTAAATACTGACTGAAAGAAGTTTTACAGGATTGTCTGTTATTTTTTTTCTATATCCAATACTATCAATCAGGTAGAACTACAGTTTGTCCTCTGCTCCAAGGCAAAATGGTGGCATTTCATACATGCCAAATAAAATGTAGATGGGACAGAACAGCAATGAGTTTGACTCAAGTCTGCTTAATAAAACTTTAAATTCTATTAGCTCATAAGTTTTTTGAAATAGAAGAAGTAACTTGCACGTCCTCCTTTACAAGACAGGGAGGGAAGTGAGTCCAGCAAAGGGCCACTACAATGGTTAAGGGACTGGAGCGTCTTTCATACAAGGAGAGGCTGACAGAGCTGGGACTGTTCAGTCTGGAGAAGAGAAGGTTCTGTGAGGAATTTATTAGTTTATAAATACCTGATGTGAAGATGTAAAGAGGCACAGAGCCAGGCTCTTCTCAGTGGTGTCCTATGGCAGGACAAGAAGCACTGGGCACAAATCAAAACAGAAGAAACTGCATCTGAATGTGAAACTCTTACTGTGAGAGAGGATGAACACTGGATATGTTACCCAGAGAGGTTTTAGGGTCTCCATCCTTTGGAGATGATAGTCAAGAGATGCCTTCTAAACTCAACTGTTCTGTGATTCAGGGTGGTGCTTTAAGACCTTTTAATATGGATATGCCAACTACTCAAAAGCTGAGAGATGAAGTATTTATCTTTAGCCACTTGAAAAATCTGTATGAGGAATTAAGTAAAGCATGTTAACAGTAACTATGAGGGCTTCAGAAATTACTTATTTTTAAATGTTTGGCTCATAAATCATCTGGCCAATGTTTTTGAATGTGTTGGACTACCATTGAGTCAAACAGCAATACTCTGCTGTATTAGTGTTTTAATTGGGTTAAAAATGTCATCAGCTTGGTCCCATGTTTTGTTGTAAGTTTTGTGTGGGAAAACAGGTTTAATCACACTTAGCAGACTTGAATAGGCAATAAGAGCTACTGGTATGTCTACAAAAGGAGCATGTGTTGTTTAACATGCTCTTGCTTTACTCACCAGCTGCAAAGCTGTTGTGTAGTTGAAACTGCCTGTTATTTCTGTGATTGCTCTGATGCCCTCTTGTCTTCTGCTGTGAAGTATAACCTGGGTGTGCATGTTGCCTAGCAGCACAGTTCTTGTAAAGAGGGTGGGAAAAAAAAAACCCCCTTAGTTGAAAGTATTAGAATATCTTTTCTTAAGCTGACTTGGGAGTATCTTTGTAGAATAATGAGACATTGTTCCTTTTCAGCATGATGTTCTACATTAGCCTTCACAGTACTATGAATAAAAGTATACTTGTGTTGAATTCCTGTCCTTCATGCTTATCAATTTTAAAAATCTGTTTTTGGACCTTTCTGCTGCAAATGAGTAACTTAAATATATTTGTAGGCCAGGCTTTCATCTTTACTGGGAGTCCTTATCAACTGAGAAATGATGACATCTATGTAGTGTCTTCCCCTTATTGACTTCTGAGGTCAATTCCTGCT